AAAAAAGTTTGAGGAAAACTTAGATATCAGAAAAAAAAAAAAAAAAAACAGCATGTATTTCCCTGACAAGTAATGTATTTCACTAATATTTCTTTTTCTGTTACATATAGGTTTGTCTATATAAGCGTATACAATATTTTATGCCATGTTCAAATTCATGACCATGCAACTTTATGATATAGTGACAGTGTTTCTCCAATGTCTGTCTACACAAGTGTCATTGTTCTGCCAAGCTGATGTCAGGCAAACTAATTTTCCTGCATAGAAAGCTTCCAAACATGTTTACTTCCTGATGATGTGTGAGGACATTTGTTGTTAGTAGCTGCAATCCATCTGGCAAAACAGTGAGTAATAGAGTTTGCAGGTGTGCGTGCATGAACGGAGCAAAAGAAAAAAACAAAAAGGTAATTTGATAATGTGAGGGGGCATTTGCAGATGTCCTTTGTGTACATATCTGATGTGCAAAAAAAAAAAAAAAACCAAGCCTGGTTGACCTTTCATTTCCTTGACAGATTTGACACTTCAGTCTGTCACCACCTCCCTTTATTCAACCCCAGCTGATTATACAACACATAAACGCACACAGATGATTGTCTTTCTACTTGCCAAAACAGAAAACGCTAAAAGATATAAACTGAAAGCTAAGGTACACGAGTTTACATCAGGGCCTAGGAGCTGATATTGATGAATGGTCAGGAGGAAGCCAACAGGCACTTTTAATTTAATGGGAAGGTTTTTGGCAAGACTGATTTAAACTGTGGTTATAAATATGGGATGAAAAAGTGGAGCACAAATTATAAGTGAATCACAGACAAGCACACAAACCTACACAAGATCAAATATCTTAGGTCTTAAGAAAATAAGCCTTTTTTGTCTGGCAGCAGATGGTAGATCATTTTATTTACGTCAGTGTGTATGTATGTCTGTATGCATGTATGTGAATAAATGATGATGATTTCTTATTGAGATTTTACCACTGATTCTGTTTATCTTAATATTGTCAACTCAAACTAACATAATAAAGCCATTTGAGGCACAGTTTCCAGTACAAAATTACTATGTCAAGTCAGGATTTTCTATTCCTAAGCATGTTATCATTTCAATCGCTTTGCATAGTATTAGAAAAAAAAAATCAAATATATGTTCATGTTTACTGTGTGAATTCATACAGTACAGCAATATACTCCTATTGACAGGTTACATTAGAGTGCAGCACACTGAAAATGTAGTTTGGAGATTTCAGACTAGGACAGCACATGAATTGTGGTCACAAATCATCTAGAACTGATAATGTGAAGCTTCTATTTAACCTATTTAAAGAATACAAAAGTTCCTGCAACGATTACAAATAAACAGTTGCCTGTCTAGCAAGAGGTGAAGTGAGAATCCTGCAAAATTCATTGCAGCAAATTAGCAAGGTGGTGGGAGATGGCATGCTGTGTCATGTGCCCTAGAGCAACAGCTGCAGATGCAGCTTGTAACACAGTCATTATCTACACACATGCTCACTGCTGATTCACAGTCACAAGTTGTTGTTTTTTTTATTTGCAATCACCACACCAATTACATTTCAGATTCATCAGAGATTTGTTACTTCGTCAGAGAGATTTTGTTTTAAATTCTAGCCTGTATCACATATCTAAAAAAAAAAGAAAAAGAAAAAAGTATTATTTATAGCACTATATGGATGAAACCTATCCAAGGAAACTATCACACTCTCTAGACTGTATGCTGCAGGTACAATATCCATCTTTTCATTAACTTCAGACTTGATAACAGGCATCAGAATCTATGGACCAAATTTATTTCAACGCAATAAGTCAGCATAAACTAGACATTATTTTATTTATAGTGTTTACAATCATAAAGATCACAAAGTCAGAAACCACTGAAGGGGATTTGTTTAAAAACAAACAAAAACAAAACAAACAAAAACAAACAAAACACACACGAGAAATTGGCTGTTGAAATAGCAAGCTGTTCTGTCAATGTAGAAAAAGAAAGCAGCATCCAAACAGTATCCCTCCTTCTTTAGCAACAAGAGCAACTTAAGTAAATCCTAATGTTGCAATGTGGCAGAGAAATTCTTCCCACGTGAAAAGAAAGATAATTGCAGAGATCACATGAGGTCTGGACTATCAGCTATGCTAGGATGAAAAATGACATGGCCTTCAGCAAAAGTCTGTCCCTCATATCAACTCATTGTTACAGGCTACAGGCTTGTAGATTACACCACTTCTCTATGATGTTCCTGTCACGAGCACAGCAGGGGAGGTGTCAGGTCCTTTCAAACTCATGGTCTTACCGTGTTCCAAACCTTTTGGGAAATAGGAGATACTAAAAGACACACATCCTATAGTGGTTTGTGTTTACTGCTGTAGCCTTAAGGCATAGATACAAGGGCAGAATTTAATTATAAAGGTTGGGTTTAACAGATTGAAAAAAAGACAAGGAATCTGACTAGCTGCCGTTTGCAATCTGGAAAAGCCAGACTGAGGCCAGCTACCAAGACACACGCCTAAAACTATACTCCGGTTTTCTGAGATCTTAGGTAATGTTCATTGCCACTACATACAAAATAGTTGTGTCTGGTTTTAACATTTATTTATATGAATCCCTCAGCTAGAAAACTGCCAAATGCTTCTACAGTAAAAATACATAATTTAGCCTTGTTCCAGAATTTGAAAAAGTCAAAATTACATTTGCAGTGCAGCTTCAATGACATGCTGCAAAAAGCCATAGCCATTCAGTCTGGCACACTGATAAAAATCCTTTCATTCGTGAGGGCAATGTCTCGAATGAATGGCCAAACTCACCCTACAAAAACATCTTAAAACCGTGATATAAAATCAGTCAGCCTTGATTTTGAGTGCATGTTTCACTGCCAAATAGATAAGGCTCCCCCCGCTAATTTCAAACAGTCAAGTAGACAAACACACCCACTGGTGTGACATGGCACTTTCTATTCAAGATACAATCTGTTTTCACCAAAACACACTAACAGAAAAAAAACCACTTCATTTTCAGTGGAAGGGAGATTTATTTCTGTTAAATTAGTGTGGTGAACAATGAATGTAGGTGTAACATAATTCAATTTACTACCTATAAGCTTCCTAATCTATCACACATCTAAAATTATAGAATTATAAGATTATAAATTCTATTAATGAAGTCTACAATGAATTCATGAAGTAAATACAATAATAAATGTTGAGTCAACACATTTCTAAATGTTAGACCAATATATTTTCATCTGGTCATTTTTTAATGCTAATGGTCTATCATTGTAGCCAATTTGCTAATCCTTTAATGTCAAGACATTATGCTGAGTGCAAATACATTCGCTTGACTCACTGGTATGAAGTGGGGCCACAACAAATGTTTTTGCTGCTATTTAACAAGATTTTAACTCTTTAGTTACTGCTTCTACTATAGCAGGTGCTGTTTATTTGTGGATGAGGCTGTGACCATGGGTACCATTTGCATAGCAGGTCTGCCTAAGGTCCTTGCTGCCAGACTCTTCAACTGCTGTGTTGGTGCATGGTGATTAATGAAAATGAGTCTTGTAAATGGATTAGGGTGCAACAGATGTACACATTTTACATAATAACATTTTATCTCCCTAGCTGGGTAGACGCAACCTGTGTAGAGCAACACAATCATTTACAAGACACTTTGCTCCTGGACCAGATGATACAGCTTCGAACTAATTCAGGAAGCCTGAAGCCTGTTTTATCATTATTACAAGACTGTAGAATTCTCCTTCGTTCAAATGTGCTATTTGAGCAATACTGTGTTTCAGGGAAAGGCAAAAGCTGTTCGTACAGGCACCCGCTTCTTCTCCTTCCTCTCTTTTGTTTTCTATAGCCGATATTGACCTCTGACCTCTGACGGGTGTCCTACAGGGCTAAATTACACTTGGGCGATCACTACAGGTCACCAGCATTATTACGCTACCAGCATTTATCTTTCAGTGAGTAGTTAATGTTTAATGCCTTGTCACAACTCTGTGTTAGTCATCTCACGACTGACCCACAAAACCCAATAGCTGGCTGCGGCCCTGGAGCTGAAGAGCAGGTGCAGCAAACAGATCTCAAGCTATCGTAGATTAAAGCTAACGTTAGCCAGCTGACGGGCTAACTCTGTTTCATACAACATCAATACAGAGCTAGCGAACAGCGACATATGTAGCACTAAGAGAGCAGCTAACGACACTTACTCAGTGGTCCTCCAGGTCCGAGTACCTGGTCTTTGGCAGGTGGAGTACCGCTCTGTCGTTCGAAGTTGCCAGGGTTGGAGAAATAATCCCTCAGCCGGGGGAGCTCTCTGCCTGCTTCCAGCAGTTCGGTGTGAAACTCCAAGGCCGTGAGGATGTATTGGTCCCGCAATAACTGGGCAGCGATGACATCTACAGATACCCGCGTCTCGGCGCTGCCTGCCATAGCGGAGGTGGCGGCGGCCGACGCCAAGATGCCCTCACCGCTGGGGCTCGTCCGGTTGCTAGACAGCAGGAGCGACGGAGGCTCTGCGTCTGCAGGCGGAGAGAAAGGATTGCCTGGTGGTGGTCCTGGCGCCCCGTCACTCGGACTCCGCTCTGTGTCAACTGTTTCGTTAGGGCGCCGTTCGGCCTCTTCTTCAGAATCACTGAGATTAAATGGGTTCACCGACGCCATTTTTGCCCTAAAGAGATTTTTTTTTAAGCAATCTAAGCTAGCTAAGCTAATCACACCCGCTGCTTCCTGAATGGATATTAGGTTAGCTAAGGTTTGGTAGGTGGAAGAGGAGGAAGAAGAAGAAATGCGAAGCTACGATTGGTCAAATGTAAGAGACGCTACTCCCAAAGCCCGCCCCTTTTATGGAATACTGGAAAAGTATTGGGTACATTTGATGTAGAGAGGAAAACTAGGCAGGGCACATTTGACAGCTGATAGCAATTGCTAGCTACTATGCTGTCAAAAAAAAGCTGCGCTCAAACCATTTCTATTAAAAATGCACTTCACTGCAAACAAAACAAATAAATAAGGGCTGCTTATTTTTTATTACATTTCGTAATATGTAAACTTGAAGTGAATCGTTTAATTTAAACTACACTACCCACAATGCAGCTACAAACCACTACGTCAACACACAACGTCAAAAACGAGTGACAACAAGGAAGTGAATGCTCATGCTGCCTGAATTTCTTGTAGTAATCTTCTTAAACAGGGAGACATTTGGTTTTAGGTTGATCTTTTTTTAGGTGGATCTGTCTGGTTCTCTGAGCATGTTCTTGGCGATCTACGAAGTGACAATGGAAGCTAAAGCAGTGTGAATCTATGAACTTGTAGTAGTAGTAATAGTAGTAGTAGATAGGTTGGTCACTCACTCATTCATTCTTTAACGGAACATTATTCCCGTTTTTATGATCAAAATCCGCTGACGTTACATGCAGGTAAGACTCTTTTCATGGCCTGTTTTTCTAAGTTACTTTCTTGTTACCAGTGGTAAGTCGGCTGGACCATTAAAATATTCCGAATTAAACATTAAAGCCTTTTTTTTAACGTTGCTTAATGGCATATGGCGAACGAAGGATTAAGCTGCTCTTAAGACCGCATACTTTGGCTTAACAAGCCTATATTATTCTGAAACCTTCTAATGCCCCTTCTATTGGCTTTAACTTCTTAATCCTGATTGCAAATGCAGGCTGTGAGTTGTCTTCATTCTATTCCATTTTTTTTTTTTTTCCTTCTTCCAGTCACCTCTTTTCACTTCCAAGCGAATTAAATCTACCCTGCTTGTCCTCAAGTAAACCCTCAGTTGTTCTTCGGTGTGGCTTTGGCACCCAAAATGAGGATGATCACCTTCTTTGTGATTGGGCTGACAGTCCACGTGGTCTTCTTCATCTCTATCTTTGATATCTACTTCACCTCTCCTCTGGTCCATGGCATGACACCCCACTCCACACCCCTGGAACCCCCTGCTTCCAGACTGGTGTTAGTGGTGGCCGATGGTCTCAGAGCAGACAGTCTCTTCACCCTGCTCCCTAATGGCTCATCCAGGACACCATACCTGAGGTCAGGAAACCAATACAAAGAAATAAACTTTGATGTGGAGTTTGGGTCTGTTTAATTATTCTTGTAAGGTGATGCCATTTTTACAGCATGTCTTTTCATTCCCCCTGTTTGCATAAGCATATGTGCTTCTGTTTCCATATTTCAGGAGTATAATAGAGGACAAGGGGACCTGGGGTGTGTCACACACACGTGTGCCTACCGAGTCTCGGCCCGGTCACGTTGCTCTCATTGCTGGCTTCTATGAGGATGTTAGTGCAGTTGCTAAAGGTGTGTGCATGATGGTTTTTTTTTTTTTTTACATGGTAGGAAGAGAAATGCTCAGCGACTTGGAGAGATTACTCTCTATTGTATGTGTTTCTCTGTGGCATTCTACTGTGACCATTTATGTGCTTGTTTTCAGGCTGGAAGGAAAATCCTGTAGAATTTGACTCTGTGTTTAATGAGAGCAGACACACCTGGTGCTGGGGCAGCCCTGATATCCTACCTATGTTTGCCAAAGGTACACAAGCATCACAAACAGAACCATTAATCTACACAATAGAAAAAAAACATTAAATCACATATCTGAGCAAACATGTTTCCTTTGGTTATTTCAGGCGCTAGTGGGGACCATGTGTATACCCACACATACTCGGCAGTGGAGGAGGACTTTGCCTCCACAGATGCATCCAAGCTAGACAGCTGGGTGTTCACTCAAGTCAAAGTATGTAGTGGAAGTATTAGCATAAAAAAATATTTTATGATTGATCTATTGATATTAACTACAGGTTTACCCACAAAAACACATTTTATAAAGACTGTGTTTTATGTGTATTATGTGTGTCATGTGTCATGCAGTGAAATATAACCCAACTTGGAGTCATTGCAGAATTTCATTTACAGAATTGATCCACATGGATTTCCTGAATAAGCCTAAAATTATTTAATATTTTTCAACAGTCCTTCTTTAAGTCTGCACAGTCTAACTCCACTCTGAAGGCCAGCCTATGGGAGGATAAAAATGTCTTCTTCCTGCATCTGCTTGGAATTGACACTAATGGACATGCTCACAGACCAATGTCGCAGTAAGTAGTTAACCTTGTATTAAGAGCTGCTGATTTTTTATTTTTTTTATTTTTTAACCTTTGGGCAGTTGTGCAGTGGTTCTTAGTCGTGTTAACAAATTCATCCAAATAAGCATTCTCTCATCCAGCTGCATCTTTGTCTTCTATTTTGTCTTTTTTCCCCCAGAGAATACCTAGACAATATTGGTCTAGTAGATGCAGGTGTAGCTGAAGTGGTGTCTATAATAGAGGACTTCTTCGACAATGATGGCAGAACAGCCTATGTGTTTACCTCTGACCACGGCATGACAAACTGGGGTAAACTTGTTTGTGTATCTAAATGTTTTTCTGCCTGCTAGCGAGTTTTCTATTTTGGCATGTTTGTGTGCGTTTGTCTCCAGGTTCCCACGGTGCGGGCCATCCTTCTGAAACGCTAACCCCTTTAGTGGCGTGGGGAGCTGGGGTTCAGAAAGCCAAGGGAGTCACAGAACCCCAACCATACAATGATGGGTTCCTACAAGGTACGTTCAAACACTTTTTTTTTAAGATTTAAATTTACAACCGATACCCTCCAGTTTGTCTGTTTTACTTTGTCTAAATGATTGTCCTGGTTTGTTTCTTTTAGACTGGAAACTGGAGCATCTTCGTAGAGTCGACGTCAGTCAGGTAAAGCTCATGGAAATTTAAACTTTTTGACAATTTCCTGTCATCAGTTGTATTAAAGTGTAATATTTGTGTGTCTTCGTTGTTTGTTTGGGTTTTTTTGGCAGGCTGACATTGCTCCGCTCATGGCTTCCCTCGTTGGTGTGCCTATTCCTGTTAACTCTGTTGTAAGTCAGAGACAAAATCAGCCATTTAATGGGAAATGTTCAATAATTTTTCAAGTCTTTGTTACATGTTTTGTCTGTATTTGTTTTTCAGGGCGTGTTACCTCTTCTCTACCTCAACAACAGTGAGCGGTTCATGGCTGAGAGCATGTACACTAATGCTATTCAAGTACTGGAGCAGTTCAAGGTATAACAGCATCTGCTTTGGCTAGCAAAATGCTTATCAACTATCTGTCATGTCTTTTATTATTCTATATGACACTGTGATCTAAACTGATGGTAAAGCTGTGTTTTTACTGTGTGTGTTTATTTGTAGATGAAAATGATGCAGAAAAAGGAGACAACTTTATCTTTTCTCTTCACCCCATACCAGTACGTACAGTAACTAACTGATGTGTTTTTCTAACAAAAATCCAATCAGAAGAACATGAATTTGCTTTTCACCGTGGCCTGTTGTGTTTACTGTGACCTCATAGATAGTGTAAAGAGAATAGATTAAAAGAGTCATTTGCAAAGAATTAATTGGCAGAAACAAAAGTATTTGTAACGTAAATGCTGTGTTTTTATATCAATCCCATTTCCAGAAAAGTTGGGATATGTTCTAAAATGTTTTTAACCTCCAAACTCTTTGATGGCATGCATTTTTAATTTCTTTTTGCTATTTGGGCTGTTTGGGACCTGATGAATGTAAAAACAAAGAATTACCAAATTTTTTACAGATTTTTGTTTCTGAGAAAAATTAGATCCACATATGAAGACATTTGTTTTAAATTTTGATAGAACGGTAGCAGTATAACGTCCTCGTAAGTGGATATCAGGCCCTTGTAGAGCATAATTTAGTATTTTTGTCTAGACAACCCAAAATGTGATGTCCACATATGTGGATGCCAGGTCCTAGGAAGTTAAAAAATACAAATCTGTGATATGTTAATTCACGTGAACATATATTCAAGTGACCAAAGTACAAAGATGTTGGAAGATTTTCCTGACCTACTTAATTGTTTTTTGTAAATGTACCAAAATTTGAATTTGACAGGTGCAACACAGTAAACACAAAAGTTGGGACTGAGACATATTTACTGTTGTTTTTTTTGAACTGAGTGTTGTAGTTTTCCAGTTAGAAATTTTGTTCATTTTTACTTGGTTTAACCTGCGGTCATGTTGTCTGTAGGAAATAGATCCTAACAGGCAGCGCTCTGTGCCTCAGTCAGTGGTATCTACAGATGCAGCTCGCCCTGCTGTGGTCACTGATGCTCCTCTGTATTATCACAGATCCTTTTGCATTTTTCGCTGATAGCAATCTGGATAGTTGTTTTCATCATTGGCAAAGAGCGCTGTTTTCCAAAAACACAGAAATGTGGATTTATCTGTGCATAGCGCACAATGACACAGTCTTTCTGTCCTTCTGAGGTGAACCCTGACATAGAGAGCTCTATGCAACTGACATTTGACTTCCTCCTTCAATCATAATACAGTTTCAAGTTGCATTAGTGGATGTGGGTCTAAGTTAAGTGACAGTGGTTTTCTGAAGTACTTCTGAGCCCCGGTGGCTATATTTATATTTATATATTTATATCACTGCAGCGTGACTGTTTCTAAGGTGGTGTAGCCTGAGGGCTCAAGCTGGTTTCAGTCTTGACCTTAGTGTGAGAAATGGTTTGAATTCTCTTAATCTTTTCATAGTGGTACATACTATAGATGTCTGAAGAAATTTCTTTGCAATAGTGCACTGAGAAATCTTTTCTTTTGAAATCTGGAGCAATTCTCTCATGAATTAAGGAAATAAGGGATGAACCACATCCCACAAAGACCGAGTTTGTGGTGATTTCTAAATTTACCTTTACCCAATCAGTTACCCTGCTTAATCTGGTTCCTCTGAAGATATAAAGTTTTGGGGGGTTTTATTGCATTTTGGAAAAAATCCCAACGTTTCTGGAGACGGGGTTTGTACTTTCTCAGTAAATTCTTTTGCTGACCCATTAAAAATCAGTCAATGTGACATTTAGATTAACTTCTGAGGTTATGCAGCACGAAGGCCAAGAATGTGTCCACTAACCAAACCACATATTCATGGCCGTATTTAAATTGCACACTTTCACACACTTCATCTGTTTTGCACCATCTTGCACCCTCTTTCTTCCCAGACTCCTGACTGAGTCAAAACAAGCAGAATTCACCCAGAAGGCCCGAATACTCATTCAGCTGGAGAAGTACGAGGATGCTGTGAGTATGAGGGGGTCTGTGGCTTTTAAATCTAATCATACTTTTACAATACGTGCAAAGCCAATTTCTAGATTTATTTTGATACTTTGATGAATTATTTAAACATTTACTGAACCTGTGTTCATAAACTAAAGTCTAACTTAAATGAACTACAGTAAATGCATTCTACATTATCGCTACTTTCTCCATCGTATGTTTTCTTCCACTTAAGCAACAAATTAGGTTTTTGTCCACCTATTTTGTCTCTTGTCAGATCTCTTTGTGCCAGTCTCTGATATCTCGCTCTCTGGAAGGCTTGGTTTACTACCACACCTATGACCGATTCTTCCTCGGTTGCAGTGTGGTGCTGGGATTTGTAGGCTGGACCTCATATGTCGTCTTAGTCATACTGAAGACTCACGCGAGTCTCAACAGACATCCTAATCTCACTAAACAGGTTAGGATATACAGTAGATTGTAATCCCTCAAGATGCCTTCCACCCAAACAAGTCTGCACAACCTGAATGTCTTGTTAAGTTGGTATTTTTCTCCTGTGTGCAGATTCCTGGCCGTAACTTGGCAAGGCTGTGCACGTGTGTGGCAGTGGTGATCACACTCTTCCTGCTTATTCAAAGAAGCCCCATAACCTACTATATTTACTGCCTGCTGCCTATCCCTGTGTGGTATTCTGTTCTGAAAGAGTAAGTAAAAGACACATTCAAAATAATGCAAACTGGATTTAAAAAATGTACAAAACAAGTTTGTTCAGATGCATTCAGTCAATTTACAATAATTTGTATATTTACTATAGTCACAGAACCCTGATATTAAAACACACGCAAAAGGATCACATCAGTCAGTGAATACAGCAGCTTTTCACTGGATCTAATTAGCCTCACACAGGCTTGTATGCACATCTGGCTCAGGTGGAGTGAAGTGCTAATTAGCTCCTTTGAACTGGCGTTTTATGCATTCATGGTTCTCCTATGTAAAAGGGATAAAGAGATGTTTTATTCTTCATCTCATCCTTTTATGACAGGAAAAAGTAATCCCCTCAATGATCTATTTTTAGGTCTGGAACGCTGAGAGATTTGATTCAGACAGCCCCTTCTCTCCCACTGTGGAAATGTCTGGGCTATTTTGTGCTGGTGGCGTTTGGGATTGAGCTGCTGGTAGGTGTCTTTAAATCTGCTGTGTTAAAGGCATCCTTCTGCATAAGTGCACAAAATTTCACTTGTGTATCATTAACTGTAAGAAATAAACCTGGATGCTGCATGGCTGTTTATTTTTGCTGCCCCCAGGTGGTGAGCTTCTTCCATCGCGCCATGCTGACTGTAGGGCTGGCTGCTCTCTCTCTCTGGCCCTTCTTGTCGGGGCTTTTTGGCAAGGCTAAGGTAATGTACAGATTAGCCAGATAAAAGCAGGAAAATGTGTGTTATAGCTGTTTTTAATATCCATCCCTGTTTTGGTTATGGACAGCACTGTTTCTCCAATAATATATATATCTACATATATATATTTATAGATATATATATCATGAGTAAACAGAGTTACAAAAAATGCCTAATCATTAATAAGAAATGTCTAGCCATTCTAATTTTTCTTATGTGTCTATAACTAGAGTGTTATTGGTACTGCTTGCCTAAAACAGTAGATAATTATAAAGGCAATTATTAAATATAGATACACAATGGTAAATGTGTTAAAGTGGAAGACAGCATTTGTTTTTGTCTCTGTTTCGGTGCAGTCACGCTCACTGAGCTGGCTTGTGGGCTGTCTGTGTCTAGCTGCTTTCCCCCTCATGCCTGTTGTGGGTAGAGAACCTAACATACATCTGGTGTGAGTACTTCCTTTATTTGTATATATTTATCTGAATATTTACCGCAATATCCTATCACGGAAAAAACTGAGAGCCCAATTCATGCCAGGTTAGGTAGGTGAGTTTCAGTAAATTAGAACATCTGCAGAACAGATCAGGAAGATAAAATGTGACTGGAATCGGCATCATATTAGTGATGCAAATATCCATCACAATATTCAAATATAAAACCCCAAAAAACTGTGGAGCCACGAGCATCCACCCCCAGTTAAAGGAAACTGAATAGACTTACTGTTAAAAGTTAAAGTCCCACGATGGTTACTTTCTCTGTATATAAACAGACGGGAAATTTGAAAGTGGTACATTTGAAAACGAGGAATGATTAAACTGCTACACAATACCGTCTTTCCACAACGAGCTGTGTGTACAAACTATCCATGTTTTTGAAAGTACAGTAACACATCCTGTTTGTCAACTCAGTACCTGTGCAGGTCTGCTCGCTCTTTTCACCTCAGCTTGCTACCTCTGGTCATCTCGACGGAGGACACCGCTGCACCTCGGTGACAGACCACAGTTTGTCATACAGGTGACCACAGTACATGTCACTGCGGGCATATGTGTTTTTGTGTGTGTCACTGCATTTGCTAATACTGATTAATTACCTGTCAAACCCGGCAGATGCTCCTTGTTGCTGTGTGTGCATACGTGCCATCCCTCACACACTCCAGCCTGCAACAGAAACAGGGCCTACCCCTTCTTAATCAGATCATAAGTTGGAGCACATTAGGTGGGTTGGTTGCAAGTGGCCACAAGATACTTGGGATCTAGAATGGTTTACTTTTTAAATATTGATCGCATACGTAAGCTATACCTCAAAAGACGTTAAAACATCATATCGCTGACACCCAAGTAACCTCTGACAACTCTTCTCTCTACAGCATCTTCTATATTTGTTCCTTTGCTGAGCTCAACACGACTTTTTCATCGACTCCTCAGCATATTCTTGTCTCTCACTTCCACCTACCTGCTGCTTAGCACTGGGTAGGACAACACATTGATGCTTTAGTTGTGTCTTGTGCAGAGTTGCACCACCGCAGCAAAGCTGTAAAATGATATTTCTATTTTTGTCTCCCTCACAGGTCAGAGGCTTTGTTCCCCCCTGTGTTATCCTGGTTAATGTTTGTGTGGATTAACATCGAACAGGAAGCCTTGCTTGCTCAGGGCATGTCTGGTAGGCAAGAGGTAGAGCCATTGTTTTTCCCTTTGTAATAGAAAACTTTTGCAAACCAAAAGCTTTGGGAAGCTATCATTTATGTATGTATTTAATTGTGAAGGTCATATTTTCCATTTTACTGATATAACTCAAATTCACAACGACAGCCACTTCACAGAGCTTTATATTGTAAGGTAAAAACCATACAATCTCAGAAAGAAAACCTCAGCAGTCAACTGACATGAGGAAGCACTCAGTAATCGTGGAAAGCAAGAACCCCCTTTTAACAGGAAGAGATGTCCGGCAGAACCAGACTAAGGGAGAGGCTGTTTGCTATGAGCAGTTTGAGGATGAGGGGAAAGAGATGAGAATGAACAGAGCTTAGAGAGAACACAGAAAATTCAAATTGCAGGAAAGAAAAGACACAGGTCTTAAAGTCCATGTCTCATTGTGGCCGGGTTTACAGTAGAGGTTGATCCGAAATCCAAACTGATCCCACTCCACGGTTCGGTACGCACGTGATCCAAAGATTCGAAAAAGAAAAAAAAAAGTATGTGTATGGTGTGCGTGGTCAGTCTGTCAAGCGGTAGTTATGGCCAGCGCTAGCGGTCCAAGTGGCAGAGCAAAGGAGTTCGCGGCATTTAAGCAGCCCTTTGCTGACCAATCCGACCGGACTAAAGCTATTACAAAAGCTACTGGGGTGTTTAGTTGTTTAGTTGTGCAAAACAAGGGGTTTAAACTGTGATGAACGTGCTTGAGCCACGCTATGATATCTCGTTGTGCGTCCACTTCAGTGTGACAAGATCGTTCCAAGCATGTATGAGCAGGAGAAGTTTAAAGTTATGGCTGAACTGTCCCAGGCATCTTCTGTTGCTCAAACTACAAATGGGTGGACCTCCAGGGCAACGGAAAGCCACGTGACCGTGACCGCTCGTTATATCACAGCGGAGTGGCCCTGTACTGCCCTATAGATCACATTAGATTAGATGAAACTTTATCCCTCGGGTGGGTTCCTCCGGGAAATTCAGTTTCCAGTAGCACAGCACCCACAGAAGTTGCAGAATGTGAGCAGAAATATACCATATATATAAACACAGAGAATACAAAAGGGATAAAAAGAATAAATAGGAATAAGAATACAAGGGAACGGCACATTTCAAGTATTGTGAGTCTATTACACCGTTGGTTATTAACAAAAACTATTGCACAGTGAAAAGGCACTACAGCTTACTTGTTCGCCTCTCCTTTGTCCCCGTTTCCCCTCCCTCTCCCCTCCAGCGAGGAGTTAAACAGTTTGTTGGCGTGTGGGACAAAGGACTTTTTAAGTCTGCTGGTCCTTGACTTCGGGAGAAGCAACCTGTCACTGAGCAGACTCCTCTGGTTGTTTATGGCCGTGTGCAGAGGATGCAGAGGATGCCCAGCATGGTCCATAATGTCCATATAGCACCTTAATTTGTTTTTATATAAGTGTGTGGAATGAGTCTTCACTTGAATGTTTTTTAATAGGCAAAGTAAATGGCGAGTTGAATTTTTGTCTTTTTTTTTTTTATTTTTGCTGATCCGAAAATTGATCCGATCCGTGACTTAAAACCGTGATCCGATCCGAACCGTGAGATTTTTGATCCGTTGCACCACTAGTTTACAGACATGCATGTTTTTTTTCTTTTTCCTCCAGTTATCCACCATCGATTTCTCTGCAAACATCGACATCACCAAGATTCGACAGCTGAAGCTGGATGACATCCGAAGGTCCTATTTTTTTGTATCCTTGTTAAGAGCAGTCGCAACAATGTTAGTTCGCCGAAGCACAGAAGCGCATTGGGTTCATTAGAGTCTGTGGGTGATGTTCAGGCTGGATTTGATCAAATAAGATGTAGTATTAAAAATGTAATATAAAAGATTTTTATGTTTAAAGTGTACAATCGGACAAAAAAAAATCAACTTGGTTCATTCTCACATTGGGCATTACCTTGACTTCACCTTTTCTTCAGGTATTTTTTATAATAACAGCATTTTTTGGCACAGGAAACATTGCGTCCATAAACAGGTATCATAGTATTTTTGTGTGAGTGTGAGAGTGTCACACAGGAAGGGGATAAGAAAAAAAAAAGTCAGTTCTGACAAATTTATTTTCTATGCACTATATGTTTTGCACCAAACATAGAGTACGTTAGTGTGTATATTCTACAACACGAGGTCCATTTTCTTCTCTGAAAAGTTAAAGATTCTAGTCTGGTGTCTGTAGTCACTTTGTGTACTTCTGTTTCCCTTTGCCTAGTTTTGACCCAGCATCTGTTTATTGTTTCCTCACTGTTTTCAACCCTTTCATAATGGGAGGGTTGATGATGTGGAAGGTACTGTACTCTTAAACATTTCCTTTTTGTGATATGTATTGTGCTTCCCCAAAAGGGGAAGGAGTCTTGCACATTATGACAAGTCATGATCTATTCATATTCTGCTTGAGAAGTAAGCTTAAATACGGTTTAACCTGCCTTTCTTTTTCGCTCATGTTAATTTGTTTTAACAGCCATGACCTAGCCCATTAATTTCTGTATCTTTTTTTACATTTATTGTACGGAGAATTTAGGCAGACAGATTTGTAATAGAAATTTTAGCATCATACGTCTAAACGAGTTTATATAATAATGTGTTTATTTCGAGTCATTTAATAGAATCCTGCATTTCCTTAAATTGTCATCTGTTCTTCCAGGTTATCATTCCATTCATCATAGTTATGTGTACATTTGAGACCATCCAAGTTGCAACACAGCTATCATCAAGGAGGTAACACTTCGCTTCCTCATCTAAAATTATAAATTTAGTCTTTTAATTCTTGAATTAACTCTTTGAATTTGTTGGAAGCATTGAATCACTGATCTGATTCTGTCTGTAGAGTTAAAGTACGTTCTGTTTGCTTTGTTAGATATGACTCTTAAACCTTGAGGCATCTAAAATAACTATAGTAAATGGCCCAGTATCTTCTAGTTCCTCCTTCATTGTGCATGAAAAGGTTTAAATGCACTGACCAATGTGTGCTCCTTAATGTTTAAATCTCTCTTATTTTTATTTTGCAGTTTGTTCCTCATCGTCCTGGTTATCTCTGATTTGATGGCTCTGGTAATGCAGGTTTAATGTTGATCTTTTATAAAAGACTTTCTCTCGTCCACTGTTAAGCAAACTGCACATGAGGCTCAAATAGATTTTAACTCACTCTTGCTCTCCTCAGCATTTTTTCTTCATGGTGCAGGACTATGGCAGCTGGTTGGACATTGGCACAAGGTAATGAAACTTGGACATGCATTTAAAACCATGTCTTATCAATCTCTTGTTTGGGTGTCTGCAATGCATCGAAAACATGCTAAGCTTCCTCTGTCTTTTACAGCATTAGTCACTATGTGATAGTGATGTCAATGACGATCTTTCTCATGTTGCTGAGTGTGGTTACACATGTTCTCACTTCACAAAGACTCGTCCTGTGGAGGCAACGCAAGATGCACTTCCCCTAGTAAATGTTACCATGTGTCTTAAACACGATATTTATCAGTGTACCTATTTAACTGTCTTATTTCAGATATGTTTTATGTTTTGTCATATTGTTTTAATTTTTTTTATAGACAAAATGGAAAATAATCTTAGGAACCTAAATAATGCGATACCTTTTTTGCAGAGTGGCCTAAGACCTTTGCACAGTACTGTGTTGTGTTCTTTGGTACAAATGCACTCAGTCTTAGTTTCATTTGTGAATTTGTAATAGGCTGCTGCAAATATGACTGTGAATTGGGTTTTTGATGAGGGTGTTGATTTGCAACATAATACAATGGGACTGTACCTCAGTAAGAAAAAACTTTGGCCACATGTTGCTTGTCACATTTAAATATTTTACTCTGTACATGTTTCTCTGAAAGGGTTAAATCGTGTAAACAAATGAGGAAAAGCATTAGTAATGATAATTGATTTATGAAACGCATGCAAAAAGCAAACAAATGCTTTTGTGTGTGTTATTCTGCTTTTTCATGATTTCATGCTGCTACGATAAATGGTCTGGTGAAAGTATGTAACATGAGACTTCATAACGCTGCCTAAAATGTATGTTTCTTTAGTGTGAAAAGGGATGTTTTAACTTATTTTGACTACGTGTGTATCAATAAAACTGAAGGATTGGCGTGCAAACGTGTGTTTAAGAGAATTTAATTGTCGCGTGAAAACTTGAGTTGCAAATTGTTGACTTTTTCCATCATTTTAGATGTTTGGTTGTCTTCGCAACAGTGCATATTAGTAAAGATGACCTATTTAAACAAAATCAAAAATCAAACTGACAGGGAATTCTTAAGGAGTGACGAGAGGTTCTTTAACATCTAATGGAGTGTGGTGTCAACATCTCTGGCAGAATCAGGGCCAGGAAGGTGCAGAAGTTGGTGGGTAATTGTGCAAAAAGGCTGGGGCAACAGTTTTTAGGACAAGGGTTCTTTTTGCAATGAAAACAAATGATTGAACACTTTAATATTTGGCCCTCTATGCACTAGTAGTGCAGTAGAGCTACATTTGTTCAAAAATAGACATCAGTTGGACTTAAAGCTAACTAGAAAAAAATAAAAGATGAGGTAAATGTTCTTAAAATAAGCGCAAACCTAAATCAGAATATAACAGTATTAATTGTGGCAAAAGTGTAACTGAGCAAATTCTATGTTTACTGTGTGCGGTTATACGCAGGATCAAATAAACCAACCTTTAAAAAACCATCGATGTTGGACAGCGTTGGTAGGTAAATGTTTGCAGCGTGCACACTAAGCTTGTGGTCGGAGTGATGCGAAGGTGTTTTCCTGTTTAGTAAAGTGGACTGTGGTGTTAATTGGATCTTTTATGTTGACATCTTTGCAACTGTGGTGCAAAGTCAAAAGCTTATAAATTCCTATGATATTAGTTGGAATCACAATATACAATGTGCTGTATATGTCATATGACTTGTAACTTGTCTTTGCACTTTGTTGTTACTAAACAAATCTGTCAACATCACAGCTAGCATTACCACATCCTGACTAACTTCTCTTTTGAATAAGAAAGTAGATGACTTTGTCTAGCAAGCGCAAAAGCAAATGTTTCAAAGTTGTAACCAGGTTCAAAAGTATTTGGATGATGCCAAATACTGCCTCTCTACAGCAGAGTGGTGTTAGGATGTAATGTGAGTGCAGACTTTCAGCTTTGTTTAATAACTGGTTTCAAAAAATAATTATTTACAAACCATTAACTGTTCTGAACTCTAGAACACCCCCCCACCACCCAGACATTGCCACATGCCATCACCCCTCCCTTGAGATTTTGCAGTCACCTTCAGCTTCTGCTTGTTTTGTGTTTTCACCCTTGTGAAAGTTTTTTCTGAACTTAGACAGCTCAGCCACTCCAACCGATGTCTTCGATCTTTGAGGCCTTTTTGGTATCTTGAGCTCACCAGAGAATTCCTTATTTTAAAGAACGTAGCGCACTGTTGATTTGTCCACTCCCAAAGTTTTTCTACTTTCTCTCCGATCTTTTTATTTTGTTTTTTCATCCTAATGATGACACTCATATAAAGAATTCCAGTGAATGCCTACCAAATGAAATTTCAGTGCTAGGTCATTTTTCTGTTTAACATGTGATGGAATAAAGCAGACCTCACTTGACCACAAAATTACTTACCAGTCAAGTGTGCACATACTTTTAAAGCTTCTGAAAATGTTTCGCTGTGTATAAAAATGGCTGTAATTCCTAAAATATTAATGTAATACTTTGGCTAAACTTTTCTGGAAAAAAGCTGAAAGTCTGCACTATAATCACATCTTGATTGTTTGATATAAAATCCACTATGTTAGTGTACAGAGGCAGAATTTAGAAAAAAAAAAAAACACAAACTGTGCCACACTCCAAATACTAGTGGACTTAACTGTGTTCTTGTTATCTTCCTAAGGTGTAAGAGATGCAAGAACATTAGAGTGAAAAAGTATCAACTTTTTTGTTTGACATGCATGCCTAATATGTTGCATTAATCTGTTGCTTTTGCGAATACTCTAATCATTTCACAGTGCTTTTAACTGTCTTTATCTACGGTCATCTGGTAAACCACACACAATTTTTTATACAGGACACAAGCACTACATTCCCCAAATTACTGAATTGCTTAATTTATTCGAAGTGGCATCCTACTACAACAACTTCTTATCGTCTATATTTCACTTTAAATGTCAAAGTGAAGAGTGCATTTAGAGAAAAATGAGGAAGTAAGCAGCCCTGTGTTCCTGTGTGCTGACATGTGTTTACAGCAACCTCCTGTTTCTGACACAGTATGCAAAGTAGATGGTGGTTTCTTACAACACTCACACGCAGGCTCACAAAGGCTTCATTTTCAGAACCTTAACTTCCACCGAACGTTGGCAAACTTCCACTCTTACTCTCTCTCTCACACACATGCGCGCATTCAAAGGCATATGCGCAAATGCACTCAACCAGAATCCGTTTTTTCTCAGCTTTTCTCTTCCTCTGTGACACTGTGAACATACCGCTGCTGGATATAATGTGATCTACTCCAGAGGACACACGCACACACAGAAGAGTACTCGGCATACAGTTCTTCACTGACCGAAGCGCAAGTAAGTTCACTGATAAACGATAGTATCTCTGGCTTGGACTTTGTGTTTTCTCATCATGTTCTTTCCAGTGTTGTGGTGCTCCTTTAATGGTTAATGTGGACCATATGGTGTCCTTCAGTGGTTCCATTATTGGTTAAATGGTCTATCTGTATTTCTTAATTCTTGAGACACCTTTTTTAGTTAGTCTTACTAACATGTTTGGTGTGTGACATAGCCACATGTTTTTAGTCTTGTTTCATCACCCGAAGACAAACAAGCCCTTAAAATACATTAAATCAGTCATTCTTATTTTTTTTCAATACAGCCTTGTGTTTTCTTTCTCTTTTTATAACACCCGTTTTTAATCATTTTTGGATACACTTCATTTCCACTAACTCTTCACACCTGCCTGTCTTCCTGTTCTAATGTCTCTTACTCTTTCTTACTCAATTTCCTCTTCTGTTTAGGATGACTTCGACATTAAATGGGACCACACTATCTCCAAACCAAAGTTCAACAATGACCACACCCTCAGTTTCAGAGAAAGATGAACTAGAAGAGTACCACACAGCCCTCTTGGTCATCTACACTGTGGTCCTGATCAGTGGTACAATTAGCCTTACCATGATGATGCGCATCATGAAATCCACCGCAACTTCCACCACGTCAATTGCCGTACTCAACCTGATCTTCACTCACTTCATCTTCCTGCTAACGGTTCCCTTCAGAATCTACTATTACGCAGTTCATGAATGGGAGTTGGGCTATGAATGGTGTAAAATAACCAGCAGCATGATCCACATCCACATGTACATGTCTTTTGTCCTGTATGTGATTATCCTCATCACCCGTCTGTTGACGTTCTACAAGAAAGCTTGCCAGGTGGCGTCCTTTCACAGGATGCATGCATGCATTATCAGTTTTCTGGTGTGGATTATTGTGCTGATCACTGTCCCTTGCATCATCCATTTTAAGTATGGCAAAGACCATGACAAAAATGCCACTCGTTGCTTCCAGTTTGGAAAATCTATAGAATCTGTTCTGATTTTGAACTACCTGACAAGCATATTGATTATAGTCATTGCCATTGTGTTGACAGCCTTCCAGGCCAATGTCCTATGGGTTTTATACAAGAAGCATCGGGAGGGATGCACCTTTCAGCAGGAGTTCGGAGCTCAGCTGAAGAGCCTGTGCTTTGCGCTAATCATGGTCATCTGCTTCATTCCCTACCACATTTTTCGACTGTCCTACTTAAACAATATAAAAGAATTAGAGGGTACAAATGAAATATTTCTGAGCATAACCACTTTTAACTGTTTGGACATGCTTACTTTCCTGGGGAGGAGGTCCTGTAACATGTGCTTTGTAGGAAAAGCTGCTTAAAAGCGGCTGGTACTGTGTTTGCTTCACTTTTTTTAATGGCTGTCAGGGTTCTGGTACAGTTCCATAAATTTAAACAATTTAATCTTATTGCTTTTGAAGTGTTTGAAATAGCATAAAAAATTCTTAAAAAACAAATTTTATCATAAAAATTGCACATGAAAAAAAAAAAGACTGTGCAGACAACTGCGAATGACGCATAAACACTGGTTCTGATTATAAGCTTAGGTTCGACTTTCAGTTTCTAACAATAGATATTGACCTTAGTCAGACAAAACATTCCCTTAGTGGCTTATTTGTCTTAGAGACTTTCAGATCACTTTACATTTGAACATAATTTAATATATACAGAGTTTCAAAAAATAAAACTGACAGACCCCTGACGATGTCCTTAGTTATGCTTTTGCACTTTTACAATTTTTGTACCATTGACTGACACACACACACACACACACACACACACACACACACACACACACACACACACAC